ACTAAAAGTGGCTAATGTACAGTTGAGAGTTAAATGTATTCCAATCCTTTACAAGAAATATGCATTTCAAAGTCATTCAGGCACTCACATAACAAGTCTGGTTATTGTTCAATGTAAACAACTTTTTTAAAATTAGGATTTATGGATGAATCAATCGCCCAGTGCCGGTGGTTATTTAAGCATTATATTTACAATTTACATTGTCCTTCCATGTTAGAAATTTATCGGTTTAAAAATCCCTATGGTCATCAAATAAAAGTTCTTCATTAAAGTAAATACAGAGGCTTCTATATTGGTGGGCTGGAAAAAAAATACATATTAATTATTAGTATGTTTGAACATAATCTAATGTTTCTTCAGGCAATTTCAGTGTCCACAAATAATTTTTACACCTGAATTAATACAAATTCAGTTTTTGTTATAAGTTTTGCCTAAATTAAAGGCAGTTCTCAGATTTCATAGGCTACGACTTTACAGATTGGTTTATAATCAAATCAAACTCAATGCCAAGAAAGTACCACCGAGTTCAGGTAGTTCGAATTTGCACAAGACTTTGATAAAGGTTTTTAAAGAGTTCCTTTAGGCTTCAACCAGCATCTTTGTATTTTCCCAAAAAGGCCCTCATTTATGTACAAATCCACCCCTTTCATGACACCAATCTGATATTCATTATAATGTTATTCTTCTCACAAAGAAATAATATTCCAAATTCCACTGATATTCTGCTTAGCTGCACATTATTCTGCAATTGGTTAAAATTATTTAAATTTAATTTAAAAACAAAAATACTCAGCTAAATCTACATCTTATTATTTTACCTTTTTATTAATTCCAAAACTTTGTAAAATAATAAGTATAAGGGTGCTCACTTCAATATATTACTTAGAAACACTTTTCGAAGTTCAGTGGTTTGGGAAGTGGATGAATGTGTGTATGACTATTCCAAGTCAAAAGACAATCCGTAATATATTATGCGTGAATGAATACAGTAAACAATAGTGTTTGGTATGTAAGTGTAAGCCGCTCGATGTGACAGCCCAAGCCCAGTGCCAGTACTGTTTTGCTGACAATTTTCCCGGTATTTAACTATATATATTAACCAGTCACTACATTATTATTATTCAATCGCTTGATTTATATTTTCTCAAATAAATGGAACGATGACTAGATTGTACAAATTATAGGCCTAACTAATGATAATGGATTTTCAACATACCTGCTTGCAGGACTCAACGGAGTTTAATCGTGCAGTCAGACGGCAGTCAGTCGATCGTCGCTTCGTCATTTTTACAGCTAATAAATCTCCACAACTCTCCCTTTTGCATATTTTATGACATTGTTTTTCGTATAAATAATTACTGGTGAGCGAAGATCACAACATTGTTTGGAGTAAGGCACAAATAAATAAATATTTAACCCGATTCACTCGCTGGCTTTCACCGTTAACAGGCTAAAAAAAATCGCGTGATTTTGACACGTCACCGGAAGTTCAATTTCTCGTGAAATCTCGCAATTTTGCGGGATTTACTTATCGGCCCTATTATAGCCCTAGTGTGATTCTCGCGCAACATTAATCCTCTGCAAACTATAATATTGTAAAAGTGGAACTTTTAATACGAATACATGCCCAGAAATGGTTCAGTTCCACCAATCTATGCACTATCTGTATTAGCCGTGAACCCAATTCATCGGTCAGTTTTTAAACCGAATGAATCCAGGCCTTAAGATTATCTAGCGTGGGTATTTTGATTTTGTTGTCTTAATTAAATGTTAGATAATTATTCTGAGTACATATTGAGGTGGATTTAGCTAGGAGAACGTAGCTAAAAACGTTGAGATATACTGATGTGCTTGTTTATACTTGTATCATATGGTTTACTGGGGTTTTGAAGGTTTGTTTGTTCTTGGGGTTTTAATTTGGGGCGTTATCTAATTGCTTATACTTACAATACAATAAACGTGTGGGCTGCAGCTATATTTCCCATGCAATGAAAAGAAATTGAATGAAAATTATTTTTGTGAATGATAGTATGTTTAGATTATATGACCCGGGCCATTGGCAATATTATCATTATTCCAAATATATCTATATGTCGCAATAGATCTAACAACGTAGCTCTAATCAATGTTTATTAATGTCATGATTTTAAGTTAAGAGAGGTTGACGGCTGTCCTAAAATGCTTAAAATCGTTTTGTGAAACGCATCTATCTTAAATTAGGATGGAAATTTAGTTTAAGACGATTTTAAGGAGATTTAAGTTTTTGTGAAACCGGGCCCTGATGTTATTTCAACAAAGATATAGTAGGGCAAAAAAATACTTCTTCTTGTCGCATTTCTTCTGTCGGTTTCCTTTTGCCCCCAAAGAGGTACTCAGTTCTGAATATACAGAGAGACACTTAGGGGCATCGAAGACTACTTTCATCACCCAATAACACATTCTCTGTGATAATTTTCAAAAAATAATTCATTTTATATTAGAAGTAACTTCTTTTTTTTTATTAACTTTGGTGGAAACACTGGGTCAATATAAAGTACTATGAATGATTGAATTGCTGTCAGAAAATGCTGTATCACTCACTATGCCGTGATGTAATGAGATTCAGTAAAAGTGAAATCTATAGCACAGAATTATATTCATTTAAGAAAGGATTGGGAGATAAATAAAATCCCCTACTCGTCTTTTTTGATAGCAGAAAAAAATATCAGCACTCGTCGGTAAAGTATAAAAAACCTCGACAAAGCCTCGTTGTTTTTACTTTATCGACTTGTGCTGATATTTTTTGATATCAAAGAAGACTTGTAGGAGATTATCTATATAATACGTGCTTTGTTTACGGCACATGCCTATTACCCCGAAAACATCACTATCCGTATGTTACTTTGTTGAAGACGAAATAATTTGTACTTCGGGTTGAACAATGTTGAACCTATTTCAATACTACATTATCTAGTAGTATCTGGAACTAATAGCGAATGTTCATCATTCATCCATCCGTATAGGGAAATCACAGATCGATTTCTCAAAAAAAGTGAAAAATCTCGGCGTCCACCTGGATTGAAATTTATCAATGGAACAGCATATCACTAACATTAATCGTACTTGTCACTTTCACCGCCATAACATAGGATCCATAACAAATCTGATCTCATAACATGCTGCTCACCACATTGTGCGATCCTTCGTGTTCTCAAGATTAGATTATTGTAACAGTCTGTTGGTTAATTTGCCAAAAGAACAAATCAACAGACTGCAACGGACTATGAACACGGCAGCGAAAACTGTTACGAAAACAAGAAAGTCTACACATGTAAATCCAGTACTAAGAGAAATTCACTGGCTCCCAATGGAAGCTCGTGTGAAATTTAAAATCTTCTCACTCACATATTAGTGTTTTCATCGAACCGCACCAAGATATCTATCGGAACTTGTCTCAAAATATCATCCTAGCCGAACACTACGATCAAGCCAACCTAAACTTAGTTTGTGTCCCAAAACTCAAATTAGGATTATTTGGACAGCGATCTTTCCAGTATAACTTGGCAACATTTTGGAATAAACTACCATCAGAAGTTAATGATGCACCCACCTTATTGCAATTCAAGAGTTTATTAAAAACACACCTGTTTAAAGAATACTATGAGACATAAAACTGTTACAAGCACATACACCATAATGTCATCAAACGTTTTGTAGCGCTATGAGCATATACTAAGTGTATCGGGTTTAGCGCCTTAAAGGTGCACTGTTATTATTATTATTATTTTATATATTATATATCTCCTTACGTTATATCATTCGAGGGGGGGGGGGGTCACGCTGGCTAAGTGGGTAAGACGCTGGCACGCTAGCCTGGAGGTGGTGTGTTCGATCCCTGCATTGGCAGAGAAAGTTCATCCAGATTTTCCGGCGTGGTTCTCCCGTGTCAGTGATGCAGGACGGAGGGCCTGACAAGGACAGCTATCTAGTCGTTCGGATGGGACGAAAAACCTAGGTCCTGTGTACACGTAAAAGATCCCTTGTCAGTTGGAATTCGATATAATAGTAGGCCGTAGTGCCGCTGTCCGTGCAAAATTGTCTTCATAGCACACTGTATGGCGTATGTCCGTCTTAATTAGCCCAGTTGGGAGCAGAACAGTAGGACATTAAACCCCATTTCATTTCATTCATTTTTATATTATTCGAAAAAACTTACCTGTCCATCTGGGGCCACCAACTGTCAATAAAGTTAATGGACAAATGTCAAACAGTAAACATGTAAAGTCTCAAAAGGGCAGCTGTGGATGTATATATCATGGATTCCACGAAGTTTCGGACAATAATTTCAATAAATCAATATTGACAATATTTTTTTACCATTAAAAATACCACAATGTTCGAATATATTGTTTGACTCCATAGATTATCGCCATTCCTCCAACATTATTCCCTCAAAAAATATTGTTTTATTATTGAAACAAAGTATAAATCAGATTGGTCATACGTAAGAATTCATACTTCATAAATTCATAATCAACGGAGCTGTATTAAGGCAATAACTTTTATAAATCAGTACATCGGCGTTTAGTTTACAAATTCGACCATGCTGTATGACTTGGTCTTAGAGACTAGGCGAGTTTTTTTTTAAAGTGCTTCCCCTTAGTCAATATAGAAAGACACCCTATTAGAGATTGGGGATTAAGGATAGCTACTCCAGTCTTAGCTACGATTGTGTGCCTTTAGTTTCACCTGGCAAACTTAATTTCATTATTAATGCATGTAACATAGTGAAAATAAGTTAATTTTATACTATTAGGACTTATTAAACATATGCACCTCACTGTAGTGAAACAACTTTGTTTTATCTGCAAATATTAAATCAAGTGATGTTTCCATCAAAATTGACATTCATAATTACGATGTATTATTCCTGCGCAACTCATATCAGGTTAGTACTTTGATTGGCTGTTGTACACGACGCCCCGCCTTCATGATGTCAAATTTAACAGGCCGGCTATTATCGCGTCGATTTGAAAAGACATGATTTGTACCTGTGTTTGTTGTGTACGATATTACTCTTGGTGGAAGTGGACGTAAAACTCCAGGACCGAACTAACCCGTCTTTGTACCTGTCTCAGGTAGTATTATATTCTTAATAATATTGTAGTTGAATGTGGCAGAAATGTTATTGATAACAATAATCAATCGTTAGTTTGAATACAAAATTACCAGGTTTGCCAGATGGATCTATAGTACCATCTCTTTATCTCGAAACACAGAGGGTTAATCGATGAGGTTTCTTATCGACAGGCGTTCGCTTCCGGTCATCTTTAGAGGGTGCAGAAATGAAATTCCCAATTAAAAAATAACATATATCCGCCTGCGATCGAGGAAGGCGCAAAGCAAGGCGTCCGGGATATGAGAAAATTAGACGTTCACAAACGCGTTTTCCTGTTATTCCGGTCCGTTAGTACAGAAACGAGAAACTATTCCACAATATGGCATTTTTGTGATTTTGGAACCGAAAGCACACTATGTTCCATGTTTTTGGGGGGAGAGAGGTTAGAAATGATATGGCCGATAAAATACCTGATTTGATTCCTCGGGGCCGCGATACTGATTTTATTATACGCCCACATTTTCATGTGGACGTATATTTTCGTCGCCCCTGTCCGTCCGTCTGGACGTCCGTCCACAATTGTTTGTGAACAGTCTACAGGTCACAATTTTTATCCGATTTCAACGAAACTTGAAATATAGGTTTATCACCCTAAGATCTCGGTTCCTTTCGATATTGGCATGTATCGGACTGTAACTTCTTGGATTATGGCCCCTGATTGTACGAAAAATCACGTCTTTAGCTTGTGAACACTTTAGAGGTCACAATTTTTATCCAATTTAGTTTAAACTTTAAATGTATGATTATAACCCAAGGATCTTGGTTCCTTTCGATATTCGCGCATATCGGAACGTAACCTCCTGAATTATGGCCCCTGGTTGTACGAAAAATCGCGTTTTTAGCTTGTGGACCCTATAGAGGTCATAATTCTTATCCGATTTAAAAAAAACGTATTATTATATCACCGTTAAACCCTAAGGCCGACTGAGTTTGAATTTCGTGAAAATCGGCCCCAAACTGACAGACAAAATGGCCGCCGTTCGTTCTCGAATAGCGTAAAAATATGGTATATCAAGGTTGTGGACCCTATAGAGGTCACAATTTTTATCAGATTTTGTTGAAACTTGAAATGCAAGTTTATAACCCAAAGATCGTGATTCCTTTCCCTATTTGCGCATATCGGACCCTAACTTCCTGAATTATGGCCACTGATTGTACGAAAAATTGTGTTTTTAGCTTGTGGACCCTATAGAGGTCATAATTTTTATCCGATTTAAAAAAGCGTATTATTGTATCACCGTTACACCCTATTTCGTGAAAATCGGCCCAAAACTGACCGACAAAATGTCCGCCCCTCGTTCTCAAATAACGTAAAAATATGGTATATCAAGGTTGTGGACCCTATAGAGGTCACAATTTTTATCCGATTTTGTTGAAACTTGAAATGTAAGTTTATAACCCAAAGATCTCTGTTCCTTTCGATATTTGCCCATATCGAACCGTAACTTTCTGAATTATGGCCCTTGATTGTACGAAAAATCGCATTTTTAGCTTGTGGACCCTATAGAGGTCATAATTTTTATCCGATTTAAAAAAACGTAATATTGTATCACCGTTACACCCTTAGGACGGCTGAGTTCGGATTTCGTGAAAATCGGCCCAAAACTGACAGAAAAAATGCCCCCCCCCCCTTCGTTCTCAAATAGCGTAAAAATATAGTATATCAAGGTTGTGGACCCTATAGAGGTCACAATTTTTATCCGATTTTGACGAAACTTGAAATGTAAGTTTATAACCCAAGGATCTCGGTTCCTTTCGATATTCACGCATATCGGACAGTAACTTCCTGAATTATGGCCCCTGATTGTACGAATAATCACTTTCTTTTTAGCATATTCAATATCCATCTCTCGCAAATGTGGGCGTATCCTGCCTGGCAGCCGCTGGTTTTTTGATCCATTAGTCAATTGAAGGATATCAATTCCCGAAATTAATTAATTAAATGAATAGCCCGAAAACAGTTGAACAATGCAGAATAGCTTTCAGACTAGAAGGCAAATGGATTTTTCCCAAAAAATATTATATTTCTTCAAACTACCCGTCTACCCGACATATCGTCAGCAGAATTAGAAGGACCCTGTTTTGGGTTAACCAATTTGGTGTCATGCCGCTTTGGGATACACTTTCTTTGGTATCATGGGAGAAGACTGCGAAACCTATCTTTTGTAGCATTCCACAACCTTCATATACATAGTTGGTGTGAAGCATTGGGGTCATTAGTACACAACCCCTATCATGTTTAGAGATAAAGATTGGGGGGTGGGGGGTGTAACAAATAGCAAAAGAAGCCAATGAAGTTTAATTCAGTCATCAGATAGGATCATGCTGAACTTCGTCTGAAATTCCGTAATTAACATAATGCCATACGGCGGTCTTTAGGAAGTTTTGACGAGCCATACCTCGTAACACATGTGTTTTATTTGTGGAACAATGACTATTTTTTAACGTCCTACTGTTCTGCTCCTAACCTGGGCTAATGAAGACGGGCATACGCCATACAGTGTGCTATGAGAGAAATTTTGCCCGGACAGCGGCACTACGGCCTACTCTTATATCGAATTCCAACTGCCAAGGGATCTTTTACGTGCACGTCAATGTGTACACGGGACCTCGGTTTTTCGTCCCATCCGAACGACTAGACAGCTTTCCTTGGCAGCCCCTCCGTCCTGCATCACTGACAAGGGAGAACCACGCCGGAAAATCTGGATGAACTTTCTCGGCCAATGCAGGGATCGAACACCCGACCTCCAGGCTAGCGAGCTAGCGTCTTACCCACGTGATCCCCCACTCTAGATATCATAATTTTCATACGGTAATTCGCACATATTAGGTCGTAACTACCTGAATTATAGCCCTTGATTGTACGAAAAATCACGTTTTTAGATTGCCGTCCCTCAGGTCGAATTCCGTGAAAATCAGACCAAAACTGCCGAACAAAATGGCCACCACTTCTACGCAAATACTATAAATATATGGTATATTGTCGACCCTCTAACAGCTGTAACAATTTTCATCCAATTTTGATGAAACTTCAAATGCATGTTTATAACCCGCGCATATCGGATCGTTACTTCCTGATTATAGCCCCGGTTTTAGCTTGTGGTCCCACTAGCGGGCACAGTTTTTATCCGATTAAAAAAATCGTTCGAATATATCACCGTTAAGCCCCCGCCAGACTCGGCGGCGTCCTTATTGCGCTGCTGCGACCGTACGGTGACCAGAAAATGCCAAAGGTCACCGGCAAACTTGAAAACAGCGTGGGAAGATGTCCCAAAAAATTACAAACTTGAAAAAAGTCGCCTTTTCACAGCTTTCCAAGTCAGAACGCAGAACCTTGGTGTTTGTTCTGAACATGCTCATAACAAACGCCGTGACTCAGAGACCATTTTCCGTTGCCGTATCAGCGCAGTAAGGACGCCACCCTGGTTTGATAGGGAGTATTACACCATAATGGCGGTTGAGTGCGAATTTCGTGAAACTCGGACAGAAACTTACTGACAAAATGGCCGCTCCTTGTACACAAATAGTGTAAAAGTATGTAATGCCAAGGTTTTGGACCCTCTAGATGTCACAATTTTTATCCGATTTTGATGAATCTTGAAATATATGTTTATAAGCCAAAGCTATTGTTCCTTTCGATATTCGCGCATATCAGGCCGTAACTGCCTGGGTTATGGACCCTCATTGTACGCAAAATCCTGTTTTTTAGCTTGTGGATTCTCTAGAGGTCACAATTTTTTTTTATCAGATTTTAAAAACCTTTCAAATATATCGCCATTCCCCCATAATGAAGGTTGAATTCGAATTTTGGGAAACTGCCCGACATACTGGCCGCTCTTTTACGCAAATTGTATAAAAGTATGTGATACGATGGTCGTGGACCCTCTCTAGATGTCACAATTTTTATCCGATGTTGATGAAACTTAAAATATATCTTTATATCCTAAAGATACCAATCCCTTTCGATATTTTCTGGATTATGGCCCCTGATTGTACGAAAAATCGTTTTTTTTTTACTTTTCTCTATCCATCTCTTCCAAAATGTGGGCGTATCTTGTCTGGCAACCGCTGGTTACACCTGGGTTTGTGTCATTTAACTATTTAGAACAGAATCCAGTGAAACTTTTTATGCTTGTTTTTCATTATTCGTAGGTCGTTTAGTTCTTTATTACTATGTTCAGGTTCAAATCTTCGGGACTTTGCCTACTCATAATCCCTCAACTAAGTGTCAATTTTTATTAAATATAGAATGAAAATGAATTAAAAAAAAAAGCATATAGTGACAGTCAATTATTTATTTGAATTGTCCAATTATTTATTTGAATTGTCAGATATCCTCTCTGTCTCAAATTTTTGCCTTTAATGGAATTATCAGTGAGCTGAAATTCGACCGTGTATCTTCAGTCATTTAAATTTAAGGATAACTCCTGTTTTCTAATTTTTACATCACTTCCTGTTTCTTCAAATCGCCGTTAGGCATATACCATAGTAATGATCTGTTTGGAATGTGTTTAACCAGTTCTATCACATATATGGTAATGGCTGACACCAATATTGTCATTTAAGTTAATCTGTTTACTGATCAATCGTATGACTGGTCAATGGTCCGATTAACAACCAATAGCTAACTGCGTTACAAAAGCATTACGCTTAAAACAGAGCTCCAAATTGGATCAAATAGGTTTACATAATGTTACGTCATGACTCACGATTGTATTATGCCCAGTTAACCAGTGCATAGCAGAATATTGCAGAAAAACTGATTGCGTGACAGACGAGGCTATCAAATGGAAAACAATGTAAACAATACTGTTTGGAGACGAACATACTGTCACCATTTTTAATACCTTAACTTAAGTCACTGAACAAAGTTTTAGGGAAGATTCATATTAAACGAAGGACTGTCATGTTGCTGTACTTAGGATAGATTTGATTGAACGGGAAGAATAGACACAATCCTTCAAAAGCTCAAGTATCAGAAGCCAATCCAGCAATGGCTAGAGAGGGATTTCTCGAACCATTGCTTCAGGAATATATACAATGATAAGAGGGTTAACGCGAGTCGGACATACCTACGTGAATGTATATCGGATGGCTCCGTGTAGCGATATGCATCGCTGGTTAAATATGAAAAGCCCCCTCATCAAAAACATACATGTGACGCATACTATCTCCTGATACACATTCTATTAGCCTCGTGATCGTTTAGTATTTTGTCCCCGGTTATATTTGTTATTCTTTAATTATGACTCCTTTTCACGTTGTGTATTCAGTTTACCCAGTTCATAGTTACTGGCATAACAATATCACAGTTCGTTTCTACATTTTATGTCAAGCAAATGATACATAGGTTACAATAAATGTCATTCTCCAATCTCTCAACTCGCAGAACGAGTTTACTGACGGAACTCACTACATCATATGGCTCTCCCACGAACTAACGGGGCATTCTGAATCCAGATGGTGTATCTTGAACCTCAACGGTATCTCCCAACGAATCTACATGTCAGTGTTTAACTGATCAGCGTCTTTTATATTTCTAGACACCCCACCAATCTCGCAGGTCGAGTTTACTGACGGAACTCACTACATCATATGGCTCTCCTACGAATTAACGGGGCATTCTGAATCCAGATGGTGTATCTTGAACCTCAACGGTATCTCCCAACGAATCTACATGTCAGTGTTTAACTGATCAGCGTCTTTTATATTTCTAGACACCCCACCAATCTCGCAGGTCGAGTTTACTGACGGAACTCACTACATCATATGGCTCTCCTACGAATTAACGGGGCATTCTGAATCCAGATGGTGTATCTTGAACCTCAACGGTATCTCCCAACGAATCTACATGTCAGTGTTTAACTGATCAGCGTCTTTTATATTTCTAGACACACCACCAATCTCGCAGGTCGAGTTTACTGACGGAACTCACTACATCATATGGCTCTCCTACGAATTAACGTTGCATTCTGAATCCAGATGCTGTCTCGTGAACCTCAACGGTATCTCCCAACGAATCAAGATGATCTCTCTCTCAAAATCCCAAAGCGTGTCTACCCCAGAGCGCATAAATTCCGCTCGTTATATATGCCTAGACTGTTGCTATGAATTATTCAATTTGTCAAATATTACGTAAATAATTATGTTACTAAGCCTCATGGCGTCGATAACCAACCTTATATGGACAGTGGGAACTTTCCAGCAGGAGTGTCAGACGTGTTACCTTTTTATTAAATTATTATGAAATAATCACTGTTATTATTTATAAACCCATCACTCATTCAATCCGAGTGCGTGAGGTATGACGTATCTACACTATGTGGAGCCAATAATCAGTAAAAGAGATAATCCGGGAAGAAGGGTTTGTGTTTTTAGCACAAGCCGATGATGGCACGACAACGCATGTAAATGATTACGCACCAAAATATTTTAAGTTGTAGTTGCGAATCGTTGAAAGAAATTGTCATTTGATCGAAGGTTTTGAGTGGATGACGCAGCATCTTCGGTGATCTGATGGCGTATTGGTCCAATATTCCTGAGATGATAACTACAGGTTTTACTCAGAGAACTTATGTGGGATAAGTAAAACGTTCAACATAATTAGGTCTTGACTTTATGTCCTTTAAAAATACATTATGGGAGATTTTTATAGAGAGTTGGCCATTCTTGCTATAACAGTTCAAAAGTACGTACACGATGAAAGAATATATTGAAAATTTCAGTCAAATTACTTTATTCTGAACAAAGTTATCATCGTTGTAATATTTGACTAGAAATGGTAGTCAAATATATCTTCACCTTGGCCGATCGTTTGATTGACAGGCGTTAACTCCACCTACATAAGTAACGTTTTCAATGGCTTGAGACGGGGTTGCAGTTCAATTCGTATCACATTTATTTTTACTACAAATTATAAATAAGACTTTTATTATATAGATAAGAAGCGAAAGTTTGAAAGAAATGGACCAAATCAATGAGGCATAATTATAGCCGACTTCTTGTTAGCCTGCGTGTACTCTTGTACTGTAACGTGACTACGTGACTTCCGAAGCAGACAAATAGGAAACACTACAGTGATCCAATGGGGCTGCAATTCAACTGGGGTGATGTTAGCTGCGATGTTTATCAATTTTTCTGTAAACGCAAGTGACAAAAGAGAGTATAATACCAACATCCAAACTCTCATTTTAACCACAACTGAACATAATATCAAGGCCGTATATATCGAACTTTCAATCAAATTGACTGACATGCGGCATCGCTCAACAGCGGCCTCTTTTGGTACACTCTTATCATTTAGCCTCGATCTAACTGATGACGTCAACGTAACGGTTAATAATCTCCGCATGGGGCGCCATTTTTGATTTAATCAATCAGTGAAATCCTATTTAAATCCAAACTGTAGCCGAGCCATCCGTGGGTCTACAGAGTTGATTTTGGGCTTGTTTAAATAAAGGTCTATTTTATAATTTCTATAACATCTGAAGCCTAAATTAAGTCTTGCAATAATCAGATTTAGCTCTTGCAGAATGTATGTTTAATGCAATTAATTTATGTATTCCAGATAGCGGATTTAGTTTGTAATTACTGAGATAACTACACACAAGACGAATAATTTCAGTTCTCCGAGAAAAAGTGCTGTAGCTAATAATGAAGATTGGTAATATATTATTATAAGTTTTTCTTCGTTTGAAAGTTGTTTTATATTTTGCCAGAAAACAGGCTGTTCATTAATCATTAATTTAGTCCAGTTGCCAAACCTCATTTTAAGCCTTGACGTGGAAGTATAGTCCACCTAATGTTTTTTTGGTGGATTATATATCTTCAATATGTGTAGATTCAGAATCCGGATGATGCCACCCTTGGGGAAATTGAAATACATGTATTCAAGATGGTCGCCACGAGGCATTTTCTGATTAGTTGGTGGGGTAAAATATGTGACAGATTCTCTCGGGCCTCGGTTTCGATAAGAATTCGACCCGCTGAATCCAATGAGCATGGGTATTCCCTCCAAAAGTGACGTCTGATTCCGCTAGGGGGCGCAATTCAAAATGGTGGCTTATTTTGGCACGAAACTAATAAAAAGTTAACTAAAAAAGGTGTGTAATGTATCGAAAGGTGTGTAATGTAACGAAATATAGTTTTTTTGCGTATTATATATCTTCAATATGTGTAGTGTCAAAATCCAGATGATACCACAATGGCATCCTTGGGGAATTTAAAATATTCAAGATGGCTGTTATGAGGAATTTCTGGCCTTTTACTTTAATTTAGTGGGGTAAAATTCGGGACAGATTCTTTTGGGCCGCGATATGAAGGTGATTTATGTCAGAATTGGACCCACTGAATCCAGTGAACTGGGTATTCCTCCTAAAACATGTCGAATTCCACTAGGGGTTTAAATCCATGATGGGGGCTCATTTTGTGTGTGTGTGTGGGGGGGGGGGGGGTCATAAAGTCCCCTCAAAAGCAAAAGCTGTGCAATATATTAAACTATATGTTTTCAGTGTCAGTTACTTATAAACTAAACATAAAAACATGTTCCGACCAAAACGTATTCCAGGTTGAGCTCATATTCAAAACGATGGCCATATTTGGCAAGATATAACGATATTAGTAATGTATTAAACTATACCTTTCCGGGTTCGCCGAATTCATATCTGAATCGCGAAATGTGCCATGACCGAGCGAAACGCCAATAAATTCAACAAAATAGCAAAGTTTGGTAGACCATGGAAAAAATAGATCGGTAATGTAAAAAGTTATGTATCACAGGACTAGGAGCAAAAATGAAAGGGCCATACGAACAGAAGCTACGGAGAGCATAAATTCGTGTCACCTACTCTACTAGAAAACGGGGGGGGGGGGGGAATTGTTTGCCACCGTCATAAAACACCCAGCTTTGCGGACGCGTATGAATGAACAAATAACTGACAAGAAAAATGTAATCCCCGTTACATGACACGGATGGAAAAGGAAGAGTCAGACCGTTTTAATCTGTAATCAATGGTACAAAGTCAGAGGGGTCAAAACCAAAAGTACGACACAGATGTCAGTAGCGCGTGTGTCCTTCGCGGGCTCTTACGCACGCTGTGCAGCGACGTCGCATGGAATTTACCAATGTTTGAAAGAAGGCCTGGGGCAAATTGTTCCATTCTTGGACAAGAGCAGCTTCTAAAGCAGCAATGGTGTGCATCTGTGGTCTCCGATACAGACGGCGTCCAATCTCATCCCAGACATGTTCTATCGGTGCCATGTTTGGAGACATGGCTGGCCAGTCCAAGACATTGATGTTGTTAGCAGCCAGGTAGTCCATACTAAAACGGGCGGTATGCGGACGTGCATTATCCTGTTGGAAGTGCTGAAGTTGTGGGTGCGCTCGAAACATCGGAACAACAATTGGTTGCAGGACATCATCACGGTAGGCGACAGCATTAACGCGACCCCTGCAATTGTGTAGGGCGATCCGGTGATGAAATGTGAAGCCTCCCCACACCATTACACTTCCCCCACCCCATCGATTCGTTTCGAAGACGCAGCAGTCTGCAAGACGTTCCCCAAGACGTCTCCACACACGTTGACGGCCATCAGCGGGATAAAGATGAAAGCGACTCTCATCACTGAAGAGCACACTCCAACATAAGGTCCTACTTCTCTTAGACGACGTCTTACGGTGTTGGCACATACTGGTCCTTGTCTTCCGACGACTGCTGCACATGTTCGAGTCGCTGGGCGGAATCTGTCACGCATATGAGTGACCCGGATGTAGCGGTCTTGAGCCTGGGTTGTAACGCGTTGTGGACCAGGACGTTGACGGTCACGTGTTGATCCAGTATCTCGAACACGTTCCACCAACCTTACAATAGTGGACTGATGACAATTGAAGTGTCTGGCAATAGCACGTGTAGCCATGCCAGCCCTGGACATTCCCATGGCTTCATTCCGTTGATTTTCAGTAAGTCTCGGCATCTCTAGCTCGATTCTTTCACACGTCCAACAACAAATTACGACAGATTGACGTTTCATAGTTCATGTACTGCACATTAAGTTGAAAACATGCTTTTAAAGGGCTCACACACAATGCTGCATGTGAATATTGGGTTTTTCATGTGCATCTCGTGCAATTTCTTTTTTTTGCACACGGGCCGATATTTTTTGCGTTCATAGTATTGCATAATATTATACATACAAAACCACTTAGTAATAAAATATTTGGGAAAAAAAGTGATGCGTTTTCCATGGCGCTCAGTATATTTCATAATCTCCTTAGGAGATATCGCTTTACATGAATTTGATTGGTCAGTTCAAAAGAAACTACTTTTTTTATTTTCAAAGAACAGTTCATTTCTTATTAAAAGTAACATTTATTTTTATTAAACATGAATTATTGTTATTCAATTGACCTTGATGGAAACACTGGGTCAATATAAAGGACTTTGCAATGGTTGAATTGCTGTCAAAAAAATGATGCATCACTACGCCGTAATGTTCAGTAAAAGTGAAATCTACAGCAAAGAATTATATTTATCTATTTGTGCATGTAAGAAGGGATTGGGTGATAAATAAAATCTCCTACTCGTCTTTTTTTATATCAAAAAATATCAACACAAGTTGGTAAAATAACAAAAAACGAAATATGAGTTTCTTTCAGAGTTATCACAGTTTATGTTTCAAATTCTTTCGCGTTTTAGCCAATCTTCTAATGCCTAATATAAGAAACTGGCTCAATGACCGACCTTATTATACAGCGCACACGTGCTAACCATTCGGCCATCCAACCACCCACCTAGTTACAGGAAGGGCAATCGTTCACCGAACTCGGACCACAAGGAAAACACAGAAAGTGAAACTCCATAACATCTGCCAAACCATATCTTTAGGTTCCGTTATCAGAATATCTTGATTCGATATCTAGTTTGTCCCAAGCCTGAAAGCCGTTTCTGTACTGCTTGCAGGTCTAGAAATTATTTTATTATTAAAAACTCCACAATTCACAACAAAAACCACATCTTTTACCCAGCTGTCCAACTATACTAATTACTTCGATTTAATTTATTTCATTTCTTTTCAGGCAAATTTAAATACACATTGTTGGTGTTGTTCTTAATATGGGCTGTCAACATTTTATATCATGACAAGTACAGTAATTGGAAATTGTTCAGTAAACCGGATAACACGTTAGCGTCATCCAAACCGGTCCCAACGTTGACTTTCGCTAAGAAAAGTCTTATCCAAAACCAAACTTTACCGGAGATCCGTCTCACTCCAAGGCAGACTTTACCGGAGATAAGTCTCATTCCAAGGAAGGCGTTACCGGAGATAACTCTTGTTATACGGATGACGACTATACCCAGGATTTTAAATCTCGTATATTGTCATTTATTCCCCAGCATTTCTTTGTACTGGTCAAAACGATACGGTAAAGTTGCTCTAATTCTTGATAAAGAGTCTTCTAATGACAAAATATTTGCTGAGAAGTTAGAAAAACACAAACTTAAAATGGGTATAGATTTTCAGTTTTTCTATGAATCATTGCCCGAAAATTCAACAGTAATAAAGCGAATGCAAAAAATAAAATTACGCTATTTTGGATATGTCATACAATTGTACTCGAGTTTTTTAATGGATAGATTTATCAACACCCCGATATTAGCGTGGATTGATTCCGATGCAAAGTTCATAACCCCCGTTGCACCCGAAAACATCATGATAAATGGAAGATTGCGTGTTAAAGGACTAAATACGTTATCTATACTCGATAGTTATAGTTCATTTACAATGCAGATGCTTTGAAAACCATTGCCTGGGGATTTCATGAGTTATTTCCCTGTATACATATGGAGAGATACTATAACTAACTGTAATAGACATATCTTAAAACATATGAACGTTACCACACTGGAAGAGGCATTCATAAAATCTGCATCGCGTGGTTTACTGAGTCCGGTCTGTGTAATTTTAACTTATGCTTTTTATTTTGAAAGGCATAGATACGATTGGCATTTTGACATCGGGCCCCGTGAAAACCTGTCACACTACAACAAAAAGTATGTACTTCCAGGACACGAAATTACTTCCGCCGACGTCACGTATGATGTGCATGTAGCGACACATAACCGGTATTATATCGACCCTAAAAATGTAATTAATCGTCACGGATATTGTGCTGCTGTGACTAATTCCACCATATCCATGAACAAGCAAACAAACCAAATGTGTCGAAGATTTAATGGTGCAGTTTTTTGGACACTTTTCATACTTCAAGATTATATGATTAGATTCTATGGTTGGTGTCGAAATCAGAACACGATGTGTTTGCCTACTGTGAATGATCATTATAAAAATGTAAAAAAGTCAATTCAAGAGGGTTATTATACTCTAAATATGGGTAAGGTCGAATATATCTATTCTTTTGCTAAATCAGAGAATGTAACTTGTGAGCGTTTTTTCAGAAATGGGGGGTAGATCATTTATTTGTGATATCACAAACTGCCTATTATTAAATGTTCTTTTCGAATAAAATAAACTCGAGTTGATTTTTTACTGTGGACACACGTTTGGCTTTATCTCAACACTGGCTTTACATAACGGTGGGGGTAGTCGAATGGTGTCACCGAGTCAAGTGCCGTTATTTGGATACAACACTTGTAGTAGGAACATCCATATGAATTAATAATTACTTACGAACAGTTCAAACTGTAGCTAACAACAAGACAACGGTGAGGCTGGTGCCCCCCCCCCCCCCCACCGTCGCAATCCCCAAATAAATAGATGACACATACTAATTAATTGCACATTTTGAATAGTATCGAGCAATCAAGCTTATTATCTATACGTTGTCTAAGCAACAAATGTTCACAGTCAAGGTTTTGAAGTACCTGGTAGTAAAACTATTCACTAAGTTTCATCAGTTAGAATCAAAGTTATCTTGTCCCAAAGCATCGACCAATGAAAATGCTTAACTCTGCCTAGCCTTTGCGGATAATGTTAATCACTGAACTCAGTCAAGACCCGCATATGCTCACGTGACATTTCCGATGATGACGTAATATGATGCATTCAATTCATTCTTCATTATAGGACGGCGAGAGCGGTAGTCCGTTAAACATGTGGGCATGAGATATGTCCCTATGTCCATCTTTTTCCCACCCAATGCCAAGACCGGCTTTTATTTGTGTTGATTTCCCCTGCATTCAGATTTATCGTATCTTTGCTCCCCAATATTTCATCCTTCTGGAAGCTCTAGGAATTGACATGCTGGGGATTGGTGCAAATCTGTTAATTCCAGAAAAGAGAAAAAGTTTGAGCTTTATGTTTTCCAAATGTAAATAGTTAAAGAGCTAAACCTCTAACTCAATATTTTCCATAATATACTAAACAGCAAAAAAAAAACCAACAAAAAACGTCAGTATGATTCCAAAATCAGAGGCACTTTAATGAAATCATTCTAGAAAACGACTTACTAAATGGATGTGACAAAGTGATTTATATTTCTCACCAAATTGAACAGTATCATTTAGGTACATATAACTTAATGAACTCTGCTGGTTTTAATAATATATGATTTTTGACTTTCACCTCTATATAAACTTCTGTTAAGCACGAGCTTATTAAACATCTAATTGATTCAGTATGTTCTTTACAAACTACGTGTGGTCTTTGTAACGCTCCGCTTTACTTCAAAGGAATATGCATTGGTCAGTAGGCATGCCGTGACGAGATAAAAGAGACACTTGCATGTATGACCATGTGTGCAAGGGTATATATTGAGGAGTTCACTGACAGTTAGGAGAGAGGAGCCGGGCGGAGAAGAAAGGCTTGGACGAGTGTATGGACTCACCCGAGTTCAGCCGCTGCCTTGGCAGAGGGGCGGAATGGTTGATTCAAGATTGTTAGATGTGTTCCTGTCGTAGACTAGTTCTTGTATAGTTTTAGGACCTGTATTGCTGTTGTAATTATGTAGATGTTTGATATTCTGTTCCCGTTGTAAATAAACCATATATTTATTAAACTAACCTCTGTTGTCACTAAGAAAGTGTTACATGGATCAAAGCAATTTTTTGGTGAACAGTTTATTGACACATTACGAGAAGGTTTAGTCTATACACAGTCTATACATCAGTATCTGGCGTGTCCACCGCGAGTGTCAATATAACAGCAGCTCAGCGTCTGTACATGGAGTTAGTCAGACGATTGATGACCGCCATTGGTACCTTGAACCACACTCGCTGAAAAGCCTGGCGCAATCTATCGGCTTTGTTTGGTCTTGGTATGACGTTATTAAGTCGCCTCTGAATTTCATCCCAAAGATGTTCAATCGGGTTTAAGTCGTGAGCGCTTGAGCGATCGATGTAGCGCACTGCTGTGATGCCGCCTCTTCTCCCTGGACCAAGATTTTGGAACACCACAGGACCCACTGTTTCAGGCAGATTCCACAACAAACCATTATGCTCGGACCTCTCCCCATGAGTCTCGTTCAATGACACATTGGTCAGAATAACGCTGGCTATCGGCCATCTGCAGTTGATACGCAATACCGACTCTCATCTGTGAACAGAACATTTCTCCATTGCCTGTGTCGCCAGGTCTGGTGTTGTTGGGCAAATTGTAGACGATCACGTCGATGGCAAAGGGTAAGGAACAGTCCACGGTAAGGTCTACGGCATTGGATGTTCTCTCTGGTGAGACGTCAGCGCACTGTATCGGTACTGATGAGTCTTCCGTGTGTTCCCACTGTCTGACGTGCCGTCTCAGATGCCTGTGTGAAGGGATTCTGCACCGGCTGTCGCACAACATGGCGGTCTTGTGTTAACCCTTGGTCTACCAGTTCGGGGCGATCGTCCGTGGTGTTGGTGGCCCGAAAGCGTAGCTGAAGCCTGTAGATGATCCGAACATTGACCTGGAAGTGATTCGCAGCGGCGTGGGCAGTGTCATGTCTTCCAAGCGCCTGGTTCCTCTGAGCTGTCGTGACGTAGTGTGAATGATTCAACCAGGTATGGGGGAAGCATTTTATAGGGCTTGTCCCGGTGAACAGCACGTGCAGCATGAGTTACATGAAAATCATGGAGAACACATTACCATCTCAGAAGTCAGGTTGCGTTTTGAGAACATTTCCTGGGTTCAGCTCTGTGTTTGGGAATAAGACTTTATTGCTCAGGTAAAGTTGGAGATGTGGTCACAATTATACAATAAAACATTTGGCAAGTTTTATGCAATTTGTCTATTCAAAGTAACATACCAACATGACGTTTCTTTTTGTTGCTTAGTATATTTGAAATCAATGTTATATAAACTATTATTTAGACATTTACATGAAAAGACCTTAATCAACTCTCGATGTCATCTTATGTGTCGACTTTTCACTAGATTTTAATCCCATTTGCTGCTCAACACTCATTGATGATTTTAGTCAAATAATCGAGACTGTTCTTTATCGTACCAACTTCAGTAATGATGATCGAGGCTAGGCCTAAAATTTTAAACGCTAATACATCGATTCAGAGTGGAGCAATTTGACCGAAATGTTCAGAATATTCCCTTTACATTATCTAGTTGTTAACTATTAGAGCGAGAACTGCCAGCTATGTATCTGATTTTCCATGATATACCTTTAAATAATAAAATATCAAATTCATCAAAAATGATAAAGAATTCTAAAACGTTGTCTTCGTGGAAATTTACTCTAGAGACAACGTCGCTCTTTATTTGCGTATAGGAGCCGGGCGCGGTGGTTCAGTGAGTTAGCCGCTGGTTCGCTAACCTCGAGGTCGCTGTTCCCTCTGACAGTGATTATTTTTCGGGTGAGACGATAAACCGAGGTCCCGTGTACACATTGACGCGAAAGTAAAAGAACCTGGGCTATTGAAGACCAGGCGATACGTTTCAAGTCAGTAGCTTGAAGCGTATATATGGTATTAGTGTCAGTGGCCTGTGGCACGAAGTAACAGTATATTGTCGCATACATAATATATTATGTCAACGCTTGGGCGATATAATATATTATGTCAACGCTTGGAACTAGGATGGAGGTGACTAGGCATGAACTTGCAACGATAGATTTAATTGGCGCTTTGATAACCAATGAATGCTTTGGAGACATATTTTGGCGGTATTTTCCATCATGGAATCGGTGCATGGAAAGCGAGGTGTGAAGAACTGTCATTACTCATTTTATGCATTTTTAAATTAGCCTGTGCAGAAAAATTACAAGCCTTAAGCTTTTCCACGAACGTAAACAATAACTTGCTTCAGTCCACGGCCTATAACTGTTCTGTGCGCTATTTTCCTTTTGTCGGAAAATATCAAATTTCACATGGCTAAATCCACCGTAATATATACTATTCAAAAAAAGTAGGGGATATTTGATTTTAGGGGCATAATACTAAAATATGCAAATGACTACGAAAAAAGTCACTATAGAACCTAACAGAAGAAACATTTCCAGTTACATGTGACGTCCAAACGCACCAATAGCTACCGCATGGAATGCATGTGATGCTTGGGATCATCATGGGGGTCCAACCCAAGATTTGCACGACTATGACTTTGAATGTTACAGTCATTGTGGCATTGAATTCCAGGGTGGAAACATCAGTTTAATTGTTTTAGTGACCAGAAAACAAATTTTGATATGCGTCGGCTTACCCAAAATGAAAGGTTACGTGCCCTTGGCATGCTACAGATCGGCACAACACAGGCGGTTGTGGCGCGGACGATGAATGTTTCTCAGTCTGTCATAAGCAGGCTATGGTCCAGATACCGTGATACACAATCTGTACAGGACAGACCACGCTCAGGTCGACCAAGGGCGACAACTCAAGCCCAGGATCGATTTATCCGTACCTTGGCCTTGAGAAATCGTGTCATCACAGCAAATCAGATCAGCGCTCGTCTTCAAACAGACACTGGTGTGAGAGTGAGTGGCCAGACGATTCGGAATCGACTGCATAGGGGTCACCTTCGCGCCCGACGTCCTCGCGTGATCCCTTGTTTGAGAGATCATCACATTCAGGCAAGACGTCGTTGGTGTAGGGATCGTCAACACTGGGATAATCGACGCTGGAGCAATGTGATGTTTTCAGATGAGTCAAGGTTCACTGTTGATTTTTTGGACAGACGTAGGAGGGTGTGGCGTCGTCGAAACGAGCGCTTCCAAGACCTTAACGTCATCAGACATGATCGATTTGGGGGTGGTTCTGTTATGGTGTGGGGAGGCATCACTGTTGCTGGAAGAACGGCTTTACATGTTGTTGCAGGGCGTGTTACAGGCCAGTACTACCGGGACAACATCTTGGCAGTCCATGTTGTGCCGTTCGCACGACGTCATGGCCGCCGTTTCATCTTCCAGGATGACAACGCAAGATGTCACAGGGCCAGGATCGTTACAGGTTACCTCCAACAACAGAACATCACCACATTACCTTGGCCAGCACTGAGTCCCGACCTCTCCCCCATCGAGCATGTCTGGGACATGCTTGGACAGAGGTTA